GCCGGCGGCTAGCGGCAGCTCCATGGCTTCATGCTTCACGCGGGTCAGCAGCGGGATGGGGACGGAGGGGGACACGACGTATGGGGGGGGCGGTGGCAGCGGCCGGCTGCAGCTGGTTGCAGGGACTCTGGGGCTCAGAGCTGGCGTCCTCGATCATGGCGGTCTGCGAGTCGCAGTGGGGCGAGCTCACCTTGAACATGAGGTCTGTGCCGCGCTCCACGATGTGCTGGATCTGCAGGAAGCCAGCTGTGTACATGACCACGAGCTGCTCGCTGGCTGCCATGGTCAGCCTGCCTGTGTAGCAGAAGGACAGAATCTGCTGGAAGCAGGCGGGCGGCACCGTGCCCGGCAGCTCGAAGGCGCTCTTGCTGTTGCCGCTGAACAGGTCGCGGAAGTAGAGGCTGCTGGCGGCCAGGACGGCCCGGTGGGCCTTGAAGGCCTGGCCCTTGACCACAATGGACACATCGCAGTAGAGGCCCAGCAGGCGCTGCTCGTTGAGGCAGCCAAGCACGGTGTTCCCGAAGTTGGGGATCTCGATGTGCAGCGTCTGCGACATGGCGGGCAGGCACTGTGGGCTCGCCTCAGACTCTCAGCGCGGGAGCAGCCGAGCGGGGCACATCTGCAGGAGAGGGCAGGAGGCACTGTGGTGAGGTTCCCGGACGGCCCCCCGAAGGGCCAAACTCCGCACCACCCCCGCTCTGCCCCGAGCGGCCTGTGCCCTCCTCTTGGGTACCCCAGACTTCCTCTAGCTGCCACAAGCCAGACCAGGTCTCGGAGCCGACCTCACCTACAGTGGGACCCTGGCTGGACCAACAGTGTTGTACAGGACGCCAGATGCTCTGAACCAAGTTCCCAACCAAGGGATGCCCCCCACGCCACCATGGGCTGCTTCCAGAGGCCGCCCAGGAGAGAGCATGAGCCCCGGGGGGGCCGGGAGACACCCAGTCCTAGCAGAAGAAGAGAGGCCTGCACAGGCGGCAGATGGGCCATGAGGTCCGGAGTGGGGCAGTTCAACGGCGGCGCTCGGAGGGGTGACGGCGGCAGGCCCGTGTCTGCACGACTCTTCTCCCAGGAAAAAGTTAGTGGCAAAGGAGCCCCTGGCTGCCTTTCCCCTGGGAGGGGCCAGAGCCCAGAGCATGGGGCAGGGCACCACAGGGCTGCCTCGTGGGGGTCTGTGGAAGCTTTGGTTTCGGTTTGGTTTCAGCCACGCAGCGGCCAGTCAGCAAGGGAATTCCGCCCGCCAGGCTTAGGAGCTGCCCCTCAGTCCCCTGGAGAGTCGGCGGGGTGGGGGTGCCCAGGGAAGTGAGCTGAAGCTGGGAGAACTCGGCGGCTCCGCCACCTCTGCTCCCTCTCCCGGCAGAGACCTGGGGCCAGAGGGGTCTCTGAGTCCTGACCGGCTCCCGGGCTTCCGGCTGCTGTCAGGGACCGGCTGCCAGACCAGGAGTTGGGAGCCTGTCGCAGCCCCACCTGCACGTACTCCTGGCCCCCAGCTTCCAACGCTGGCCAATCCCTGCTGGCTTGTTCCCAGCCCAGGTGACCAGAGGGGTCGTGGGGAGATGGGGGAGGGCCCGGCAAGGGCTCAGATGCTGCCGGGATGCCACCAGCCCCCAGGGGCTAGGAACGGGGCTCCAGTGCTGTGGATCTGCTGCCGGGCTCAGAGGAGGGGTCCGGGATGGAGGGGCCAGAGAAGGCGCTGGCCCAACTCCGCGCAGCCTGCGGCCGTACAAAGGGCCGCTCTGTCCCGCGGGAGGAAAGTGCAGGCGGCCGCAGTGGCGCCGGGCGGCCAGCGGAGGGAGGGCGGAGCACTGGACTGGCCGGCAGGAGTTGGGCAGGTGGGCGGCCGCTTGGGGGAGGGTCTGCAGCGACCCCGCTGCGGAGAAGTTGCCAGCCTGGCCGGTGGTACCAGCCAGCGGGGGAGACCTACCTTTGGCCGCTGCCGCCGTG